GGGCACGGGTGAAGTCACCATCCCTGGAGGGCTTTTAACAGCCGCGTGGATGTGGCACCTGGGGACGGGCTCAGTGGTGGCCTTGGCAGTGCTGGGGATGAGCGGTTGGAGTCGATGGCCTCTCTCTTTTCCAACTCAAACGATTCCACGGCTCTGCTCCCTCCGCGGGCGGCTGCGCCAGCACCGCTGCAAAGGGCCGCGCTCGGAGCCCGAGGGCCTCGCCTGTGTCTGTGAGCACGTGTAGAGAATGGGACGTGGGAAGGAACTTAAGAGCTGTTGTGGTTTTTTTGGCTCGTGATGAAATGTAGCAAACCGATAAGGAAATTTAAATTAGCCTGCATTATACATCGAACGGTATGGCAACCAGCTAAAAACCTAGTAATAGAGATGGTGAGCCAAGAAAGGAAGCAGAGGGATGAGTGCCAGCGATCCCAGAGGCTGGAAGGCTCATGGACGTTCCAGCAGCCCTGGTGAACGCGGATGTGTTTGAGGACGCCGGCGGTAGGGCTGGGCTGGCTGGTGGAGTGTTTGTTAAGTGGGGAGGGAGGAAAGACGGGCTGTGAATTCCCGAGCTGTAACGGGGCAGGGAGGCGATTGCCCTTTCTTGCCGCCAGCAGCTGCCAGGGGCCGTGGTGGGTGTCTGTCAGGCTTTTGTACTTTCATTGTGTGTAGGTGTGACAAATCTGTTGGGCGCCTTCAAGAAAATGTACGTCATTTTCTTATATACGTCATAGTTCTTATTTTTCCCTTTGTGTTTGGGGACCGGCTGTGATCCCTGCTCCATGCGGGCATGCTCTCTTTTTGGGGACCGGCTGTGATCCCTGCTCCATGCCGGGATGCTCTGTTTTTGGGGACCGGCCGTGATCCCTGCTCCATGCGGGGATGCTCTGTCGTATCGCAGCCCCCACCTGTGTGACCCAGTGCGAGCCCTGAAGTCCTCGGGAGCAATTTGGGAATAAGGGTTATTTCTGTTCTTGGACCAGCAGAGGCCGCCCCACATTCCCTTTTAAAAAGAAAACCATCCTGGTTTGCAAAATTCCTGGGGATTTACATATAACCCACACATGCACTCTTTGGTTGGAAGTTTTACTTTGAAGCCTGAGAATGGACTTGAGTGGGAATGCTTGCCAGTTTTACTTTGCTGTAGTAATTGGTTTTTTTTAACGTCCTCTTTTGAAGCCAACATGTCCCGAGAGACTGAAAGTGAAGTACAGCAGACTCAAGGTGCCCAGTCGTCACAGAGTTCCTCTTCCAGTGGGTCACAGAGTACTAGTCAGTCTTCCTCAAGTTCTGGGACCCTCAGTTCTTTGGACACCCTTCCGACTCAGGAGCTTCCGTCGATCCCTGAGGAACCTGAAGAGGTGGTTCCTCAGCCGTGGGGTCGACTCTTTGCACTTGCAAAAGGTTTCAGCAACTGTGGTATGTGCATACTGTAACAAACTGTTTGTTTGTAGGGCCTCAGAAAAGTTCTGAGCATCTTGGTAGAGAGCAGTGTCTTCTCATTTTTAAATTAAGTACAAGCAAAGTTAGGTATGCAACTTTTGCAATAATGTTTTATTCTATACATCCCAGTGTTTATACTGAGTATTTGGATACATGGATTCCATAGACTTAGAGAAATTATAGGGTGTTCATGTTCGTTGTTAAATGCTTCATTTTTCCATTTTATAACTTATTTTATTATCATATGGGTCTATATTGCTGAAGGTGAACTGAAAACTACTACTGCTAAGGAGGGCAAAATTATTAAGAGCATAAAGAGGGTAAAATTATTAAGGAATTTTACAAGGTGTCAATACTGCTTTGTCTGAATTAAGACAAATAAACTTGATTATAGGGGAAGAATCTTGTCTCTGGTATCCTACTCTAGCATCTGGCATCATTCTGTAGTGCCATAGTTATTAACTTCCTGCAATGTCGTGTTCTCTCTCTGCTGTACCTTCTGCAGACTGTGTGAATGAGGAATACTGGTTTGGGAGAGACAAAAGCTGTGATTACAGTTTTTCTAAGCTACGGTTGTACGAGACTGGCTTCTATGAAAACTATAGCAAGAAGCACTTCCGAATTTTCAGGGTAAGTGCTGAAAAGGTTAACTGTCTCTCTGTCTTGGCATAATTCAAAAAGTGACTTTGGAGCAGAAATCCTGAAGATATCAAAGCATCTTCAGTGTTGACTCCTTTAACACGACTCTTGGCAATGCCCCACTCACCTGGTTTATGAAATAACCTCAGTAGTCTCATTTCTTGAACCAACAGTAGTGAATTTCTAGTCCGTCATGTCTTTACTGTGAAGTTGTTTCTTCTCTACTTTCATCTTTATTATTTTTTTTCTCTTTGAGGAAATGGGTCCAAAAAATTCCTATGTTGCCTACATTGAAGATCATAGTGCAAATGGAACATTTGTGAATAGAGAACTTGTTGGAAAAGGGAAGAGGCTTCCACTGATTCACAACTCTGAAATTGCACTGTCTCTACAGACCAATAAGGGTAAAATGTACTTTTACTTAAGTAGGTTCTTCACATGTTGACCAGGAGGTTGTTTCTGTGTTGATTTGAGTGTGTTTCCTGGGAGCTGAGCTGCTTCATGAGGACTGTTAAAACACAGCTATGAACAGATGTTTTAGTACTTGCATAAAAATTATCCATATCCACATCAACCCTAGAAAAAAACTAAAAAAGGAAGCTGAGAGGAATCTGCATGAGATACCACCTTCCTAGAGTATAAACTTCTATAGTTGCTTTCCTATTTCAAAAATGCTTTTGAGCTTCAGTAGCCTGTGATGGTGGGAACAGGGAAGACAGACTATTGAAGAGAAGTTGAAAATCCCCCAGATACCTGATGGAATGCTGCATAATAAATAGAAAATCCTCTTAAAAATTAGCAGAGCTGGGCATTTGTTTCTTTGTCTTTGCTTTTCCACTAAGATGCTGTCTTCTTGATTGTTAATTCTCTTTGATCCCTGCTGGGACATTGACATTTTTGCCCATTTTATCTAAGTGTGGTGTTAATTGGTTAAGGATTGTTGTGAATGTAATACCAAAATGTTATTTTTCAGCAATAAGATCACATTGCTACCCCATAAGCTGATGTAATTTATAGCATATGTTTAGTTTTTCCTCAAGCAGGCATTTTTTCAGTCATGTTGTTGACTATAAAAGCTCAGGAAAATAGCTTTGTTTCTTACAACAAAATTTTAAAATTAATAACAGAAAAAATATCTCAACTTGTCTTCCCAGTGTTTGTATTTTCTGATCTTACGGTGGATGATCAGATGATGTTTCCTAGAGAATTGAGAGAGAAATATATCATGTCAAAGACTTTGGGAAGGTAAGCATCCTTCTTTCCTCACTGTTAAGGTTTGACTTTGTTACCATTGTCAGTACCTTTTTCTGCAGTTGTTACCAGTTCTAATTGAGCTGCTGTTTTAAAAGAAATAAGAAGAAAAATTAATGCTAACACCTGAGTAAACCTGTTCTTTGCAACAACTTAAACAGGAATTTTGGCTTTATGCCAGTATTTGGCTTGGGGTTTGTAACCTGCCATCAGTGGTGAAAACCAGATTTTGTTTTGTTGAAGATAATAAAATTTGTAAATTCTTAGCAAGTTTTTAAAGTTTGTATATTAATTTACTTGGTTACTGGAAGTAGAAGGAAGAGCTTTATCTCGGAATACAGATTTCTACAACATCACTGTTGAGGCCTTCAGACAGAAGGGGAAACAACTGTCCAGGAAAAAGGGGAGAGAGGCTATTTTAAGAGGAGGCTATTTTTTTCTCTTTTGGAGACAGTTGATCAGTGAAGAATTTGGAGATGAATGATTGAGTAGAAACAAATCCGAGTGGGAAACACAAGAATTTCTTTCTGCAATGTAATTGCTATTTAGTAAAAACACAAGTATTGTCATATCTGTTCTTCAGATTTGTGCAATCTGATGTTGAGAGAACCCTTCCTAGGTTCTCTTCCCCTAAATGCTTTTGGGTGAAGGGAATGCTGACAGAGCTTCTCTGTCATATTTGCCCCTACCCTTGGTGCCACCAGTACCGTCACTTTGCATATTTACTCCTGCAGTTCTGAATGAGCGGCCCTTGACAACACTTGCTATTTAAACAGACTTCCTAACTGTGGAATGCTTCCTGAAAGGGGCATATTTTAGAAAGCTAGAAAGCAGCAGCTCCAAACTGTGTGTAATACAATGCTTTCATTTGTCTGTACTTGTTATGCAGATTGTTGACGAGTATTTGTAAGCACTGACATAGCTGTGCTCTCGTGTTAGTGGTGCCTGTGGAGAAGTCAAACTGGCCTTTGAGAAGGGCACTTGTAACAAAGTTGCAGTGAAGATCATCAATAAACGGAAGTTTGCGGCAAGCGGCCCGAGAGAGGCAGTGAGTGTTTTTGCTTGTCTGTCTGTCCGTCTGTCTTGGCCATCTTGCAGTGGCCCTGGAATATTTGCTGACTTCTCTGACTCCCTAGCTATCTTCAACTAAAGAGGATTTTCTTACTTAATGTAAGAAATTTAATTTAAGTGCCTTTTGATCTTGTAGCATCTACAGAATTCTGCAGGAAATGCTTGCTTTCATTCTTTGACCACATTCCGTTAGGTTCATAATTTAGGACTGTTAATGGGATGTATACAGAGGGTGGTGTGGAGTCTTGTGGGGTTTGGTTTAAAGGACAATACACGTATAAACGTGACAGTATTTTTCTGGTTTTGTAGTTTGGAAATTAGTTGGGGATTTCTAACCCGCAGTGAAATGACATGTGGAGCAATATCTTGCTCCTGATAGTGACAGCAGATTGTTTATTTAATTCACCGAAGGCACCTGATCAGTTTATGGAAAAAGATTGTATGTTATGATCACTTAGAGTAACAAGGGGCATGATGGCTTTTCTGGTACTGTCTTTTATTTCTGATGTGTCTTATTTCAGAACAGCACTGCCTTACCCAATATGCTTGATTGTTTTAACAGAACCCAGCTTTTAATATCGATACAGAAATTGAAATTTTGAAGAAAATAGATCACGTGAGTGTTTCTGTACATTTTTATTCCTTTCTTCTTCCTACTGTATGTACTTGTGTAGTTCACTGACCTTAGTGTGGTAACTAAAAGTCAATTTTATCTGTTTAGAAGTGTGCTAAAGGAGGCATATGTTTTTTCTTGTAAATTACTGAATGGGTCTTTTTTCCTCTTTTAATTATATTGTCTCTTTGCAGATTTGAGATTTTAAAAGTTTGTATAAATGAGATGTAAATTTGAGAAGAGACTTCACAGGAGAAATTTCAGCCTGAACCACTGTTGTAGAAATCTTTCCTCGATGCGAGTTTTTGTAAATGCCATGAGATAATCAAATATAAAGATTAGTTTTGACTGGCAGTTTCTTGAATTTGTATCCCCTCTTCTCTCTGCACGTAAAATACACAAAATGTTGAGGGGATGGTAACTCACAACTGGAAAAATAAGGATTGTGTTTACCAAAGTCTGGGGTGCTTGCTAGCCACTTGTGTCAAGTGTTAAAGTGACATGGTTGAAATACTGAAACAGGAACTTTAGGATTAATTTTTACAAATTATTCTACTTCTTTGTGTATCTCTATTTGTGTTCCCTTTTCTGTTAGCCTTGCTTAATCAAGATCAAAAACTTTTTTGAAGCAGAGGATTACTACATTGTTTTGGAACTGTAAGTAAATTGTTTGAAAGTATATACATAAAATGAAATGTTTTTCATAACTACAAAGAATGTGTGTAGTTCTGAACTGTGGGGGGTTTGTTTGTTTTATTTTTTTTTCTTTTGCTGGCCAGGACACTGGCCTCCACTGTTCTCTGAAACCTCTGTAAAATTAGGAGCTAGGATAGCCAGCAGAAGAGTCATCCTTTTAAGCTTGGTGCCTGGATATTGTTTGCTGTGCTGCTGTCGTGGATGGCTGCTACTTTTTGATTTTGGAGCTTGTAAGAGGTGACTGATCAAAAAGCATGTAACAAGTCCCAGTGAGGACTTAGGAGACTGACCCAAACTCAACAGTGCACCTGCTGTGTTTAGGATGTTGCTCACTCATTTTCAGAAACATACTCTTTCTCTGTAGACAAATGTTTTGGTCTTAGTCCTGTCTAATGAGACGAATCTTTTGGAAGTCATGTGTTGACTTCTTACCTGCATTTGTTTTAGGATGGAAGGAGGAGAACTGTATGACAGAGTGTCAAGGCCAATCAAGATGAAAGAAGCTACATGCAAGTTGTATTTTTATCAGATGCTGCTGGCAGTAAAGGTACATAATGGTGAATTCTACCAAGAAAAAATATGGTTATGCATATGAATATCGGTAAGATGAATTTTTCTCTCACTTGTCATTTCTGAAACCCATTCAAGCAATCAGCACAGCATTCTTAACAATTTGGTTTAACAAGAGAGAAATGGAAAACCAGAATTCCTACAAAGGCAACACAGAACTTGGGTCTTCCTTAGTTCTGTGCTTTTACTGAGATGAAGAAGTGTAACTTCCCAGAGAATGGGAAGTATGTAACACCAGGCCAGGTCTGCACAGTGAGCTTGCAGTGAGATTTGTCATTTGAAGCATAATGATTTTCTAAGGTTTTTTTTTGTTTCTTAGGGGTTTTTTGTTTTGTTTTTTTTAAGGGAGAGTCATAAGCTGGGGAGCTTTAAATGCCTCTTACACAGCTATTTCCGTTATCCTGCCATTGCCATGGGAAAAATTGGAAAGCTTACATTTTAAAACAGGTTAATAGTCTGTTTTTCCTTAATTGTCTATCTGTATATATCTAGTATCTTCACGACAATGGAATTATACACCGAGATCTAAAGCCAGAAAATGTGTTACTTTCCTCTTCTGAAGAAATATGTCTTATAAAGGTAAGAAAACTTACATTTCGTGTTAATGGAGAAATTTGTCATTCTTCCTTGTCATTCTTCTTGATATTTTGTTAAACATATCCAAAAAGATAATTTGGAAGTAGTCATACAAACCATGAAATAACTTAAAACATTGAGAGTTTTTTTTCATAATTTTATTTTTACTTTTGTGGGTATTTCAACCCATACACTGCATAACTAGCTTCAAATGTCAGTGCTTTTTTTTTTTCCTCCCAATAAAATGTAATTCTTGAATTACAGGCAACATTCCCACAAGCTGTATGTGACAGGGCTTTTTTTGATGTTTTTGTTCTTTTATGGGGAGGGTTGGGTTTTGGTTTTCTTTTGTGTTGTTTTTTTTTTCCACAGAGAAAACACTGAATAGCTTTGCATGGTAAAGTGCTTATTTTTTAATAATCTCTTCTAATAAGCTACAATACCTTTATTCTATGGTTGTCCTCTTACATCTAAATTTGAGAGTACTTTTTGCTAGTGTAAAAGTGTGATCCTCTGTCATATTTCTCTCTCTTCCTCCTCTCCCATTCTCACTTAAAACTCACAGAAGTCTGGGTAACTTTTGTTCATAGTCATGTGCTGGAACTGGCTTGGAAGGAAGAAACTTGATGTTACTTCCTGATTTATGAGGACAATGTGATATGTTCTAGTACAGTCCATCCTAATATGTAATGTGGTGTTACCATTTTTAAATACAAGATTACAGATTTTGGACAATCCAAGATTCTTGGAGAAGCTTCTCTTATGAAAACATTATGTGGTACCCCCATGTATCTTGCTCCTGAGGTTCTAAATTCACTTGGGACTGCTGGATACAGCCGAGCTGTGGACTGCTGGAGTTTAGGAGTTATTCTTTTTGTATGGTAAGATACTGTGTAGATGTACCTTCACTGGGCAGTCTTTGATCTATGTGGCTTGAGACATGGCAGCTTCAGTATCTATATTAGGAAGTGAAAGTGTATTTAAAACTTCACATGTGTAAAAACACTGTGATAGCAGGTGCTTTAAAATGTGTGATTTCAGTGTTTCATTTGCTATGACGAAACCTGTGTTATTTAACTTGTTTTCTTTTATGTAGCTTGTGTGGATATCCACCATTCAGTGAGCAAAATCCTAAACTCTCTCTGGAAGATCAAATCACTCGTGGAGAATACACATTCATTGCAAGAGAATGGAAGCATGTGTCAGACATGGGTATGACATGGGGTAGCAGAATATCAACCTCCTTTCTTGTAGTTTTTGTTTTCCCTTATCTTCCTTTCCAGCTGTATGGCAAATTGCATGTTAATACGTTTAGTTTTTAAAGTAGTGTTATAATTTTTTTTTAAAGTTCATAGTTAAAGCATTAGAAAGAGGAGATACATTTTCATTGAAGAGATTTCTTAGTAATATTTAATGTAATTAACCACAGAAGTATAGAGTTTGTGGGCACATATGTCTGTTTTTCCTCTTTCCACTTTTTCTTCTGACTTTATCAAGCTGATCTGCAGACTTTGCCTTGCCTAAAGATTCTTCAAGTGTTGAGCCAAAAATGCCAGGAATTTAAGGAATATGAGTTAGAACTCCAAAAGACAAATGTTCCAAGAGAGTCATTTCATGGTGCTAGACTTCCAGCTGAAAGTGTCAGTCACATTTGTGGAATCAGCTATTATGTTTGGCCCACTATAAGCTAAGTAGTCTGCAAAATGGAGTTTCTGCATAGTAAACTGCAATGATAGCTATTGTTTGCATGCTTTTATTTTTTTCAGGACATTTTATATGCACAAAATAATTGTAGTATTTGCCTTGGATACTCCTTTGTATGTGCAGAGAAGTTTCTAATAAATGATGCTGTCATTCTTTGCCTAATAAACTTACCAAGTATAACTCCTTCCTGAATAATTTGAAGCTTATTCAATAATAAGTCAGACATGTATGAGAACAGAACTTATGTTAAGGTTGTACATAGTCCTACCGGTATGTATTTAGAATAATCAGATACAATGAAAAGTAAATCGTGCCAAAATTCCCTTATGGGAGACTTGTAATAATAAAATATGACATAAATGTCATATTTTCAGTGTGTCTAGTAAGCAGCTTCCTAAGAAAATGAAAGTTTGAGATTATGTTGAGCATACGTGTGTCTGTCTCTTCTTTCTCACCTTCCCAGATGGACAATCTGCTTTCCAAGACACAGTAAACCAGGAAATTAAATTAAGCTGTCTTTGCTTTTCCACAGTAATACTGAAGCTTTTAGGAAAGTGCTCAGAACATAAATTGGGAACATGCTTAGTATATCTACTGGTAATTTTGATATATTGAAAAGTGTTGTGTCATGTGCATGTGAAGGAAAGATGGTTGCAGTCTGCAGCCCTCCCTGTGCACAGAAAAAAGAAAAGTGATCTGCCCAGCCTGTATTTTTGGGCATTGTTCTGAAAGGGTATCAGACACATTCTTGCACGGAGCTTTTTGTAGGCATATTTCAGGTAATGAATGTATTGATCCTATGTCAACCAGATCTCTTAATTGTTTCAGCTCTGGATCTTGTGAAGAAGCTGTTAGTAGTGGATCCAAGCAGACGTCTTACCACAGAGGAAGCCTTAAAGCATCCTTGGCTTCAGGTAGGAATTGAGTTTTAACTGAAATACAGCAAAGCTGGGTTGCTGGGGGGATAATTTGTTGATGTGGACTCAAAGGCAGTTCAGCAGCCTCAACGTGGTGAAGTTTTGTTGATGCAGTGTAATTTGCTTCCACACGGGAGCAGGGGAACCCTGAGCAGTGTTCCCCAGAGGTGTAATGTGTGCCTGACTCTGCTTCTGGGGAGAATGCCACAGGAGGGGTACAGTGATGGGCAAGGAGAGCTTCAGTTCTTTGGCTTCATGGCAATAGCAACTGTGATCTTAAGTCAGAGCTTAAGCCTGCCTGTCCATAGGTTGTCTCTGACAGGAGTCAGCAGGAGAACAGCTGTCATTTGGTGCTTCTCATGGGCATGCACTGCCTCTGCCAGCTGATTGTGCAGATTCTGCTGATTTTAAGACTGGATATTTTCACAGAAAATTAAGCCCAGTCTGCACCTGTAGCTGGTCTGTGCTTTCAAAGATTTAGTCCCTGTGGAAAGACTGCAAAAGTAGCATGGAGTAGTCTGCTGAATACCTTCTTTCAATACAATCAGCAGCTACTGCATCCTTTCTGAGACACCTGTTCCCAGAACTCTTTCACATCTCAGGATCAAGATTTTTTTTTTTTTTTAGAGACCAAGTCTCACTGTGATCTGATAGGATGGACTTCTTGCTTTGAGCATTGTAACAAAGTCCCACTTCCTCAGCTTGTTTGTGTGGGCAGGCAGTGCAGAGTTTGTTTCTGGCAGGTGTCCAGTACTACCGTGTTCTTACTATGCTGAATGTGAATAAATGTCGCTGGTTTGGGAACCCTCTGAGTAGGAAGTGATGGTTTCCCTGCCTCCTGTCACAGTCTGGTTTTTGTGAGGGGTAGTCTTTGGGTGGTCTTTCCTTAATTTTGGCACTCCAGAGGTGACCACTGGACTTACAAGCTTTCCTGGATATTCTTGCTTGAGGAGGCTGAAAAAAGTCACCCCTGAGCCACACAACAGGCTCTGTTTACTCATGCTGAGCACACTGCTATTCCTGTTCCCCCACTGTGAACAGGGTGGTTTACGTGCTTTGGTAAAGAACATAAGAAATGGGGTGGAAGAAACGGAGTATCCCTCAGTGCTTAACAGCTGACAGTGTCCCGAGACAAAAATTGCATATGGATGACTCTTTTTAAGTGATTAGCTTGACTTAATTATGCTGCTGTGCATCAGAAAACTTTTCCTGGCATTCCTGGCTTTTACTACTGTAGTTTTGTGTGTAACTTCTACAGTGAGTTAATCAGATATAAATTGTTACATTTAAATTATAATTCTGAGCAGAAAATGTTATTTAGAAGCTATGCTACACTTATTTTAAGAATTGCTGGTATGCATAATGGGGAAGGGGAAATAGATAAGTGATTTAGACTAAGAATTTGGGATATTTCAGTATGTAAACTGAAGTTGTGATTAACTTGGTTATATATTCCATTTAGGGACACCTCTTACTGTTAAATTTAATTTTGAAGGCAGGGCAAAAAGTTCGAGAAATCATAATAGCCACAAATCCAGATGTCAGCTAGCACACAGCTGCTGTTCTTTGAACTGTTTCCCTTCAGGGGCTGTTACTAAGAGTATCAGATGTTCATAGGTGATGTACACTGCCTGCTTGGAAGGCCAACATCCAGCATGCTCAGTTCTAGATATCACACACGTTGAATACTACCACCAAAAGAGCTCCTGAGTCCTGTTACTGTGAGTAGTGAGGAGTTACTGGCTCCTCTCTCCCTCTTGTGTTGTCTGGAAGTATCGACTTTACAAGTCAGCACGAAAAACCACATTCTCCATGCGACCAGCTAATGCCTGTTAGCCCTCTGATGATTTTGGGTACACTAGGGAATTTTTCAGATGTTAGAAGTAGCTTGTTCTCCAAACAATATTTAATTTCTACAGATTTGTTTAAACCAGTAGTGCTTTCAAAGTAGTGTTTTCAATACATGTGCTGTTTACTCCATTCTTTGCTTGAATCTACAGCTTTAAAACTTAGTGAGCTGCTTAAACCTAAGTACTACTCAGTGGAAATGTCCTACCTGTATTTAATAAAACAGGTACTTAAGAAAACATTTCTCAAAGGCATATAAATAAATGCTGTTTCTGCCTCTGAAAACTTCACTGAGGTCTTATGAGTGGGACTTAGTTTAGTTGCATGCTAAAGAAAACACTCACGTTTGTTAAATAAATGGAAAAATATTTATCTTACCTTACCCATTAACTCAAAGGTAGCCACAGTCAAATCGGGTGATGCTGGAAAAGAAAAACAAGTCAAAATTCTGTATAAAATAAAATGGATGTTCACATCAAAGCCTTTTTGTAGCACTTAAGAACATAGTTAAACAAAAAAGGATATAGTGCAAGACTCCATTGCTTAGAAAAAGGACCCCCTCCCCTGCCTTCCCCCAAGAAACTCAGTTAAAACAGCTGAAATCCTTAGGAGCTCAATGATCGTTACTTCTAAGTGTCTCTAGCAGTGAATGTCCCATTCGCTTCTCTTGGAGTTTCCCAATCTTTGCTTTTCCCTTAAATATTCTATCTACTACTTAGCTACTGTTTTTTCCCCAGGATGAGGATATGAAGAGTACATTTCGACAGCTACTTGCTCAGACACGGACCAATATGGATCCACCCCAAACATCAAAAATGGTATGTGTAATAGATATTCGAAGATTAATATTTGATGCACAGAGAAATTAGATTTTGAAGTAACTCCTAATAAGAAAACCAGTTAATTTTGAGACTTGAAAGAAATGTGCCCTTGGGCAGTATGTGGCAGCCTGCTGGTTATCTCTGCTTCCTGAGGAGCAGCAATGGACTTCCGTGCTTTGTCAACACTTGTTTCAGTGTATAGAAACAGTCTCCTAGGCTTTAAAGAATTAACCATATATTTAGAATAAAGTTGTTGAACATATTTTTTTTTTTATGGATACAAGTCACCAATGTTTAGTATTCAAGGAAAAATTCTCATGTTAGTGCAAATTTAGGATGGCATTGTGCCATTCATTACCAGATGCTAATTAGGTGAATTGTAAACAGTAGCTGTTTCAAGCTGGGAGCAATATCTTGTATGAGAAGGCTCAAATATAATTAGATGGATCTTGGTAGAGAAACATGGGCTAGTCATGCTGCTTTTGTGATCACAGAAAGGAGACATTGCCAGCACCTCTAGTTCTGGAGCAAGCAGAACAGTCAGGCTCTGTCTTGGTTGATTTCTGTAGCCATCCTGCTGTATCTTTCTTTTAGCCAACCACAATGAGAAAGCGTCACCATGAAAATGAAGAAGAATCTGGCCCTTCTAAGCGAACCGCTCCTTCTACATCGTTTCAGAAAATGAGATGAAAAAGAAGAGAAAGCGACTTTTGCAAATTACAGCTTTTTCTATGGAAAGCAGACTTTTTTAAATAAAAATTTAATAATGGAATAACTGTTGAAGACTCAATTTCCAAATAAAAATAACTTTGTAAGACTGAAGTGACTGCTGTGCATGCATGATACTCTGCACAATTAGTCATGTTCTGGTCCATTCAGCTGTCTGACTCAAAGAAAATACCAGAAAAACCTCCTGAACTGAGTTACTAACCATTTTTAGGCTAGCTTCATCCTCACCTGTATTCTTTGTTTTTTCTCTTCCAGTTTCTAGGTTAGGCATGGAAATAATGCTTAGTCTTCACAGATGAGAAAGGAATACTAGGTTTGTTGAGCTTCTGCCTGAGGCATGGCATTACCTGACACAATGCTGCCCACAGACTTCTGAGGACACTTAGACTATTCAGTTGGGATGTAAAACTACTGATGGAGCTTGAGCTGCTCTGGGCTTCAGGTAAAGCTCCACAGTAAATGCTGGGCTGGGCAGACTTGCAGCATCCTGCTCTGGGAAGGGGCTGATTGGCTTCCAAAGCAAGAGTTACCATCTGCATGGTGTTTTTAACATGTATGTACTATGTTTATTTCCCAGAGGAGGGACGAGTAAGAGGATATATGATAACAAGTGATGAAAGGAAGATGTATAAGTTCCTGCCAGGGAAGAACCAGGAATTAAAATGAGAGAGAAACAGTTTTTGGTTTGCTTGCCTAAGTGAAAATTTTCAACTGTGTAGCTTTTACTAAAGGATATTAATTTTATTATTGACTGAGAGAAGTTTAGTAACTCTGTTCTCAAATATGCAGCTTCTAGTTAAAGGCATCTACTGTAAGTTCATTTGGAAAGAAAAAACCATAATGGGTTATGGAATAAACCCATGTCAGGTAGGAATGTGACATCCATGACTCAGGTTTTCCCATATGTGCCCATTGCAGAGGTCTTGTGTGTTTCAATATATTTGATATTAACCATTGCTAATGATAAAATGCCAGTTCTTATACATTGATATCTTTCTTAATTAATCAGATGGAAAACATCCGTGGGCATCTGGATGGAAACAGCACCACTGGTTCCAATCCACTGCAGATACACCGGGGTGCTAGAACAGAGAAAGGCATGTCTGTCCTTGAGGATGTGCCCTTTCTGGTGGACACCCATGACAGACTGGCACATCCTCAGGGAACTCTGGTTCTTCCTGTGGCTCATCTGAAGTAGAAGGGAACACTCAGCTGCCATTTGCTAGATGAAAGGATCATGAAGGATGTGATGTGTTTGGGCTAGGTTTGTGTCCTGGTGTACTGCAAAAGCCAATGGGCTTTCGTTACCAGTGACTTTAAAAAAACCTGCATCATTGGCAATGAGAAGATAATTCCCAGCTCCTACTTACACTGTAAATTAACAGCAATTGGTTTTTAGATTGAAATAGAAGAACCTGTAATTTATTCCTCCATCTTTTTTTACACCCCACAGTTGTTAGATAATCTGTAACTGCTTTGCTTGGATCCTTTCCTCTGGTCCTAAGACCTACTCTCTAATGATGTCTTAATTTTAATCTCCCTAATTTGATGACAAACCTTTGGGCTGCTGGCCATGTGTTCATCATTTTGTTGCAGAAAACTTTCTGAAGTTTGGGAAGTGTCCCTAAACTTCACTATGGTAAAGTGGCAGCTGATTTGCACTTAGACAACAAATGATTATTTCTTTATTCACAGCACAAGAGTCTTCAGCATAATCCATTTGCCTGTTCATTTCAAGGGGCACAAAGGGTCACAGGATTTGGAAGGTTTGGGCTAACAAAGGTGCTGAGCCTCGCTGTGCGCGGCCAGAGTGGTGTCGTGAGTGACCAGTGTCACCGCCTGCGGTGCGATGTGGAGCCCCGCTTACCCTCGAGCTCAGGCCGCCGCTGCCTTTGGGCAGCCAGAGCTGCATCCTCCGTGAGGACGGGGCCCATCCGCGGCGGCCCCGAGCGCTGCTCTGCCGTGCGGCCCCTGCGGCCGGGCTCGCCCCCCGCCCCGCCGGAGCCCGGCACAGGCGCGGCTGAGCAGCTGCCCCGGGACCGGGGCCGCCCCGGCGGAGCGAGCCGGGGCTGCAGCCGCAGGACGTCCGGCGCCCTCGGGCGGGGGTGCCCGGGGTCCGGCCGGAGCCGAGCCCAGCCCCGGGGCGGGGCCGGGGCAGTGCCGGTCCCTCTGAGCCGGGCCCGGAACGTGGCGCCGGGGGCCGGAGCGGGATCGGCCCCCGCAGGAGGAGGAGGAGGAGAAGGAGGAGCGCGATGGAGCAACAGGCGCCGCCGCCCCCGCCGGGGGCCGTGGCGGGGGGCCGGGCTCGGCGGGAGCGGGACGCGGAGCCTGCCCGGGTGAGTTGACGCCGGACGGGCGGCGCTGGAGCGGCCGGGAAGGCGGGAAGGAGCCGCCGGGCCGGGCCGGACGCGGGCGGCGGAGGGAAGTTGCGGGGCGCGGGCGGGCGGGCGGCTGTCCCGGCACGGAGCGGGAATCCGGAGGGGGCGCAGGCCCGGCGGCCCGAGGCGCCGTGAGGGGCCGGGCGGCGGCGGAGCAGCTCCCCGGCGGGGCTCCGGAGCCGCCAGGCCGAGCGCTCGGCTCCCTCCGCCACGGGCTCCCTGGGGGGCCGTTCGCGGCCCCGCTTTCTTGGGAGCCCCGGGCCCGGCGGAGCGCGGCGGGCGGGGGTCCCGGCGGGTCGTGCCGCGGTGCGGAGGGGCCGGGCCTGCCCCGAACGCTGGAGCGGGACCCGCGCGGGCTGAGAGCTCCGGTGTCGGCGCGGGCATTGTGCTCGCTCCGGGCGCCCCGGTAAGCAAACCCGAAACTTATCTCGTTAAAATCTCCAAAGTTTGACGGTAAATGTGTCAGGTGTACTTCGCGGCGCTGCAGAGCTCCAGACCCTGCTGCAGTGGCACAGACACAGACGTTCTCAGGCTGGCTGTGCCTCCACTGGGCACGCCGGCCGCGGGGAAAGTTGTCATGAACTCGATTGAAAGAGCTTTGTTACTGACAGAGCTTGGAATCTGGCGATTGGATTCAGTCAGTGCATCTTGGATGACAGCAAATGTCATGAATGTGGCTCTGCCCATGCTCTGGAACACAGACTGGCCATCAAGAGTGAGAGGTATTATCCCAGTCAGCAGCCCGCACTCCTGTAGTTTGATGTTGCAGCCATAGGGATGCCCCTGGTTGTCCCCAGTGAACAGAGGGTTGAAACAGCTGGGTGCCTATACCTTCTTGTCCTTTCTTGTCTTTTCTTGGAGCTGTTCATGTTTATTTTTGGATGTCTTTCATTTTTCTTGGAGGTTTTCATAATCCTAGATAATATCATCCCTCCTGTACTTTCTTCTGTGGCAGAACAAGAACTCTTCAGGTGCTGATGGAACCCTTTATAGGCTCTTTGAAAAGAGTTTATTGATAAGTCAATGAGTGGATGTACCTTGAATGTTAAATGATTTTTGTCAGCAGTAGGGTTCCCTTTTTGGGAGGGGGGTGTTTTCTGGTCTAAACACACAGTCGCATGTTCTTGGAGGTTCTAGGTCGTACTAATGTGTAAGACTACTGATTCTTATTAGTGATAATTATCATTAATGATTATTGTTACTTGTATGTACTCTGCGCTATCCAAATCTCAGTTTTCAAGAGCTGGAATCCACTGCAGCAGCAGCAGTCTGTGTGTGGATTTCTGTTGGAAATGGATCAAGTCTTCTTTTGTGGCTGTTTCCCTGTATCCCATTATCCCCCTCTTGACTGAAGCGGAAAACCTCTTTCCTGTCCACTGGGAGTCCTTTCCTCCCTGCCTGGATACCAGTTGCCTCCATGACAACTGGGCGGGTCCATACTTGAGATGGAGCACTGTAATGAGAGGTTGCAGGTAAGGTACCTGTTACCTGCATATCAGGGGGTTCTGGGGTTGCCCTTGTGCCGCTGGACCAGCACTCCTGGTGGCACATGTCCCTTCAGAGACAACAGCTGGACTGCAGCAGTGGAATGGTTTGTTGCAGACAGCAAAACCCAAGGAACAACAGCCCCGCTGCCCTAACAGGTGTTCCTCGAGTGAGGTTCCTGTTCAGGCCTGGTTTTTGCTGCATTCTTGATTCATCACTCCCTCCTTTCTGGCTCTGTCTCCCTGTGGCTCACTGACAGGCCAGAGGGAAAGTTCTGTTTTCTCATTGATAGTTTGCAATTAAATAATTATTAATAATAAGTAAATTGAGTATTTTGAGCTCCCTTTAGCTTATACTAGCTCT